CAGAGAGAAAGTTACCTTTTGTTTAGTAAGCTGAAATGTAATTGTACAACTGGCTGGACCATGTACCAGAGCTCTGTAGAAGGATGCAGTAACTGTACTTAGCTGTGTGTTTCTATCACACATAAGGAGCATATTCCATAATGAAAGGAGGCTGCCAAATGCTCCGTCATCCAGCTCACAGCTTTAGGTACTTATTCTGACTATCCAAATGGTGTCTTTAAAACTGTGCTAGACAATCCTATAAAGCTGTCTCAGTGGGATTCTATTTCTCTTTTAAATTGCCGGTTCGATGCTTTTAGGACTTCTTTTACAAAGCTCTCAGGTGCTTGCTCCTTATGCAGGAGTCTGATGTAATAAACGGCAAGCACAGAAAACCCTGAGGTCTCATATAATTAGGGCCACCAGGGAGAAGTGCCTGGATACTCAGGAGAAAGGCCAAGGGCCTAGCCTATTTCTCCTTATTGGAAGGAATAGTAACATTTAATAAGTCTGTCTGTCATTGTTTTAAGCAGGCACAGTTGGAGTTCTAAAGATTGCTATTGTTCAGGTAGGCATTGTGCAACATCACTTTAGTAAGAGAAAGTTGAATTCCCACGGCACACTCACAGAGTGATGCAGCAAATTAATATTACCTGTGTACACACCATAAAACAATTATGCCTGTACGCTTCCAGGTAAACCTCATGGAAAACATAAAACAGCTTTTATAACTTACGTATCATGTAGAGTTTTATATCATAATTATCACTTAATTTATATTTACATCATCTAACAAGATTCAGCTGAGGGACCTCTATTAAAACCATGATGCTGGAGTTACTATTGAGAGATTTGGGGCAGATGGTCCCTTTTATCCCTTCCACGTTTGAGCATCCTGTTAGCTGGCTTTATTATAGACACCTTTATACCACGAGATAAGCAATAATAACCTTTATTGAAAATAGTTTACCTCTTAGCTGTTTTCAAGCACACAATGTCTTTTTTCCCGGGCTGTTTTGTTTCCCTCTTTCTCTCTGTCACAGAGGCAGGGGATCATTCTGACTCAGCACAGAGACTTTGGAGGAAACTTTGAATAAACACACTTGGGTCTAAAGTAGGTAGGCAAAAAATCTCACCTCCATACACAGATTTTCAGTGAAGTAAAACAACCTATGACAATCTTTCAATGCTATTCACATCCCCAAAGACATTTGAATCTCTGTAAGGCTGGATCCAGAGAGCTACATCTCCATCACCGATTCATGTGTGTCTGCAGATGGGGGCAGATGACCTGTAAAGCTTAGCAAGTAACTGAGCCATGAAATAAAAGCAAGTGTATCCAGGGTTGGTGGGGCAGAAGCAAGGGCATAAGGTAAAGAAGTTCCAAGAAAAAAAAGAAGGCCATCCTATCTCAGCCATGAGAAGCAGGCTTAGAAACTCACTAGAGAAAGCAGGCATTAGGACCCAGTGCATATTCTACCTCCAGTTTCTTTCTGAGCTATATTAAGCTTGGGCTCTGGGCTCTGGGCCAGGTTGTAAGCCAAAGCTGAGTGGCAGGGATAGGAAGGGTTAAAATGTCTCTGTGCTGGGTCAGAATGGTCCCCTGACTCTGTGACAGAGAGAAAGAGAGAAACAAAACAGCCCGGGGGGGGGGGGGCATTGTGTGCTTGAGAACAGCTAAGAGGTAAACTATTTTCAATAAAGGTTATTATTGCTTATCTCGTGGTAAGGCCTCTCGGGGGAGGGGCCTTAGACCCTTTGCTATTTCCTTTGTGACAATTGGCTAGGTCTACTTGGAACATCAACATGGGAAGCTTCAAACTGAAGACAGGGATGGTCATATTGGAGCATGCTGGCCAGATCTGAGAGGAGAATGGAGTGAGTTTTATGGGATGGATCCTGCTAACAGGGAGCTTTAGAGCCGATGTGAAATGACAAGCAGGGCTAGTGGAGTGTCTCGTCCTACTTCCTGAGACGCCCCCAGGTTTGTGGAAAGATGAAAGTGAGCTGACATGTTAGGAGGGGGTGTCCCTGCATTCATAAGGCCAGAAGAGTCCCAGAGTCAGTTAAAACATGGGGTGACCCTGGAACCTCCAAGTCTTTGGGCAAACATGAATACAAGCAAGCAAAATCCAACACTGATACCTTTTAAAGTCAGCCAGGTTCATCTGGACATGATAAAGGCCAAAGGATCTGGGGGAACAGACTACAGACTGTTCAGAATGCTCCCCACTCCCAGCCATTTCCAGCTCCGTGAGTGAGTCACCTTTATGACCAGAAGTGATGAGCGGACGCGAAGGACACGACATGTTGAGATAGTCTGATGGGAACAGCTCAGTATTTGCTTAAGCATGCTTTGGGAGCCTTTAGCTTGTGATTGGCTCCAGGTTCAGCTACCATGATTGGCCGAGGCACAGTTGCTTAGTTACCAGGGTGTAGTTAGGATGGTGTGATGGCTTGATTATTGACTTGTTTGGACGGAGAGATAGCACGTTAGTTACGGCTTTCATTGCCAGTGTCAAACACAACTTAGGGGAGTGAAAGCCCATCATTGTAGGTGAGGCGGGGCAGGAGCAGTGGGTTATGCCCTGTCTGCAATCAAGAAGGGGAGAGAGACGAAGGCCTGAATACCGTCGCCTTTTCCATCAATTCAGTTGCGCCTCCCCTGGTACCCAGGATGACACCACTCGCATTCAGGGCGGATTTTCTCTCCTTAGTTAATACTTTCTAGAGTTGCAATCCCAGAGGCGTGTTTCCGGGTTGATCCTGAATCTCACTGAGTTGCCAGCAAAGATCTACAGATTTACAGGCTCCTAGGTTAGCAAGCACACTTCTGGGTTAGTCTGTGAGGTTGTCTCCAGAGATGGTTGGTGTGGGCGACAGTAATAGGGGTGTGGGGATGTTTGGAATGTGAATGGCACCATTCAATAGTCTGGGGGAACACGGTGAGAGGAGGAAGCCAGCACAGGGAGGCTTGACCCTTCCAGAGTAGATACCTTTCTTGGTGTGTTTCATGAGTGCTGTCACTCACGGACCGCATGTTCTGTCTTCTTCAGTCTTCCACATGGATTCCTACCAGTGACTCACCAGGCATCTTCCAGGCTCCAGCTCCAGACTCTGCTAAATCACCAGTCCCCTTCTCCTATCAACAACCAACCGCCAGAAGATGCCCACTAGGGGGCTGGCAAGATGACTCTGGGCATAAAGGATCTCTGTGGCAACGGCTGATGGCCTGAGTTTTATAGCCAGGACCCGCATGGTGGAAGGAGAGCCCTGACTTCTAGAAGCTGTCCTCTGATAACTCTGTATGTGTGTGTTATGGCATGCATACTCCACCACCCAAATACAAACTAAATTAACTAATTTAATTTTTAAGAAATTTAAAGACGAACCATAAAAACGTGAGACAGATTCTCAGGTCATATATTTGATAAGGAAGTACTCTCTAAAATATAGAAAACTGTGCAACTCCAACAATCAAAAATTAAACCATTTGGTTAAAAATGGGCAAAAGTTCCAATAATTTATGTCTCCGAAGAAAACATACAATGATTCTCTCTGTAAAAAATTGCTATGACACGTATTTCTTTATGCTGGCAGAAGGGGGACATGATATGGCAGATGTGAAGGGGGTCAGAGGACAGTTGTTGGGGTCCGATCTCTCCCTCTACCATGTGGGTTTTGGGGAACAAACTCAGGTTATCAGGCTTAATGGCAAACGCCTTTCCCCACTGAGCCATCCCACAGGCTCGGTAGTGGTTTTTAAGTACAAAGGACACATGACTGGCGAGGACAGAATGAGTGGCTTTGGGGTTACTGGCCTGATTGGCTTGAGAAGAAGACAAAAGATAGGACCCAGAGAGCTTCCTGTTCATTGGGGGATTATGAGACTCCTCTGGCAGGAAAGGAATGACAGGGACAGAGACTGGGGTCCTGCTCCAGCCCCAAGGAGGAAGACCTCTACCAACCTTCTCCTCCAGCTAGTCTCAGGAAATTCCCCGGAGACAGAGAGGATAGGCCCAGTGAGATGATGCAGTACAACCAGAAGGGGACATGGCCCTCTCCTTTCAGTGCTGGAGATGTGACAGCACGAAGATCGCCTAAACATGGATGCAGGGGACACTGAGACACACTGTGGTCAGGAGTCCCTACACTCCTCAGGAAACAGGAAGACACAGACACTACCAGGAGAGAGATTTGCTGATCGCATTCAGGAGTGAGCAGAACTATCCCATGTTTAATGTCATCAGGAGGGTACATGCTGGAATGGGGTGGTGAGGATGACTGGAATTGGAAGTCAACTATTTTCGGTGGGATTTGTCACTTTCCCCACAAAGAGGGGGACACTGGTGTATTCATCTTTAACGATAACTATGAAGGGCCTGTTGAAACGGATGACAGGGACCTTAGGCAAAGCCATCTTTCTCAAGCTACTGTTTCTGGCAGTTTTTGTTGCTTCGTTATTGAAGGTCAGTACGGTCTTTTGCACAGCCTGTAGTGGAGAAGCAGAGGGAGTTGGAGGTTGCGCCACCCCAGGCTAACACCAGATCTCATGTAGGGTCCTCATCCATGGAGAGCCTCGCTGTGACCATGCCCTTCCTGCCCATGGCCCCATGAACCCTACTGTTCAGTGGAGGCCTTTCCCAATGTGTGCAACCCTTTCACATTCAGACTGTTCTCCTCCCCTTCCCTCCTCTCCCCTTCCTTTCTCTCATCTCCTCTTCCCTCCCTTCCCTTCCCTTCCACTCCTCTCCCTTCTCCTCCTTTCTCCTCCCCTCCCCTCTCCTCCTCTCCTCTTAACTCCCTTCCCTTTTCTCCCCTCCCCTCCCCTCCCTTCCCCTTCCCTCCTCTCCTGAACCATCTCTCATAGACTTAGCTTCAGAGGGAGCCCCTGTACTTCACGTCTCCCATAAACATGTCTCCTTTCCAGTGTGCGTTGAGACAAGGGTTTTGAAGATGATCTGAGCCAATGTCTTTCTATATTAATATAGGTAAGTTGAGGAATCAACTTACCAGGAATCAACAGCCCTGGGTAAACACTAAATTAAAGGCCACTGAGTTCCTTTCAAGAAGGGCTTTATGAGAGCATACGATTCCTTATCCTGCCCCTGCTCTCTGCCTCTGCGTTCTCCACGGTACATCTCTGGAGTCTGTGGGAAACACTGTGTCTCTGTCCCCTAGTACCATCCTCAGCCTCGAATCTGATCTGTCCTGACATTCCATTCAGCCCTATTGGCAGCTGGGGTACCGCCCTCTTCACATGACCTCACCTTGTTGAGCTTCAGGGGAGTGTCCTGCGTGATCCCTGAGAGGTCAGCCTCATTGCTGAAGACCTGGGTGATGCCCAGGGTGCTCAGGATGGTCTTCAGGTCGTAGGTTGTGGACATGGACAGTTTGGGAAAGTACAGGTTTACAGTCCTGGTGTGCAGAAGAGAGGAAGGCGTCCTTCAGTGTCATGACAGCAATGGTCTCATTTCGCGCTCGTACCTCCTGGAAGGCCACCCACCTCATCCAGGAAGCCCTCCAGGAAGAGTCGATGTACTCTGAGAGTTGTGTGTGTGACTCCCCAGGCTGAGGCTCAGCCCTCAGTTTGCACAGACAAGACAAGACATCTAGAGGGTCTATGCTAAGGGAACAGAGTAGCCTTGAAGCTGCGCTCAGTTTGTTCTCAGCCTGCCTGACTCTGCTTCCTGCTGGGTGCCGGGCCTCAGCAGGTGTGGGACTGGGGGGTGAGGCAGGACATCTGTCCACAGTTCATCTTGAGCCCACCTGAGCATCTATGTATCAATGCCTTCCTCACCAAGGGAGAGCAAGGCCTGAACTCCCTAATAGCAGGGTCAGCGACCTGGATGGGGAGGGGCACATTCCACAACTGTTGGCTCCCTGGAACCCAATAAACCTCACTGAAGGATGACAGGAACATAGACTTCTATAGTCATGTTCTGAGTTCCCCTTGGCTGGTCCTCTCCTGTTCTAGGCCCTTCCTCCTTGTCTCTCACGACCTCCACTCCCAGCTGAGGCTGAGAGGCTAAGACCGGTCTCCTTGTTTTTGTTTCTGTCGTTGTTGAGAACCTCTGGCTGCTGAGGGTGGAGGTGTGTCTTTGCCAAGGAGACTTAACTCTGAACATTGTTCCTGTCTCTGAGCCTGTCTCATACTGCATCTGTCTATAAGGTTTGGCTGAGAGACCGGGGGCCAGTGCTGAAAGGCCCTGTCATGTCATAGCTCAGAGGCTGAGTAGCAGCGCGTGGATCCCTTGCCTGGGGACTCACCTTAAGTCGATGAGCTTTAAAATATTTATGAAGTGAGTCTCATTCAAGACTTTCTCTAGTTTCTGCATCTCCCCTTCGTCGGGCAGCATGAAGAAGGCGGTGGCATCCCCCATATAATGTTTTACCAGCACCCAGCTGGACAGTTCTTCTTCGCGGTGCAAGAAAAATCTACCCCAGCAATTGATCATGGTCACCTTGATGGTCATGTCCTTGTTCACGTGGAAGTCCGCCTCTAAGGTGTGTTCCACATCGACTTCTTCATACCCTTTGCCTGGAGAGAGGGGAGGGGGGCATCAGATAGCGGTGGAGTCAAGGGTTAGCTAAGTGCTAGAGAAAAGAAGTATGGAGTGCCTTGTGAGATGCTCCCTCTGAGCCTCGGCTTCATCAGCTGTAAACTGGGCTGGAGAAGAGCCCATCTGGATACTTGACAGCACCTTAGAAAATGGTCTGGAGCTGTAGGAAGGGGCTGAGAGAACTGTGTGGGTTGATCTGTGAAAACCTGGCTCCAGCGGAGAAGCAGTTTTATTTCACGTTCTTCAGGTAGTCCACTGAGGATGCTAAATGGAGACAAGTGGGCACAATCACAGTCTCCTATAACCTTGTATGTCGAATCTGGTTATCTCTTTTCTGGTGACTTTCTGTGACTGCTCCGGTCAGTGTTCCGGGAAAGTCTAGTGGGAACCTCTGGATCTCCGTCTCAGGAGATCCAAATAAAGTTCACGGACCTAGGAAAAGCCTCTCTGCTGTACAAGTGTTCTCTGTCAAGGCTGTCGGAGAGGGTAGGCACCTCGGGGAACCCCAAGCCTTCCTAATGTTGGACAGATGCTAAGCATCCTCTGCATCATAGCAGAGCTGGGGTCTCCTGGTGCTGACATTTTCCTTGGTGCCCTGTGCTGCACTGCTCTGCTGGGCTCTGTGGGAATACACAGAGGTGCAGCCATGGCCTCGACTCCCCTCCCCCACCTTCTGAGTGATACACGCTGGGGGATGTGGAAGCATCTTTGGGATGTGGGCTCGTGAGGCCCTGATGTCGCCTAGCACTCAAAGAAAGCAAGTCAGACTAAACACCAAGGTTATTTGATCAGCTCCTTGCTTTTGCCTCTGCCATTAGGCAAGCAGCTGTTGAAAAAACCATGGTGGGTTCTGGCTGCTGAGGATGAAGTGCGTCTGTCTGCACCAAGGAGAAGATACCTGTTTAGGCTGAGTGTTATTGCTGCCTCTGAGTCTGGCCTGCACTATGGTAAAGAGCATTGTGTCTGTCTACAAGTTCAAGACTGTCCAACTGTCCACCAAAGCTCTGGCTAAGGCATGGGGGCCAGGCCTGAAGGGTCCCAGTCATGTCATTTCTCAGAGGCTGGGAAGCAGTGACTCCCTCCCTGGATAAGTGACTCACATTAATAGAGAAGCCTTAGGATACACATTCTGTGTAGCTTGCTTAGGTAAGTATCAAGGCAAGTGTTTGCACACATTGACAGCAATGGTATTCTTTCCCCCTCGATAAGCCAGGACGCTCACATCCCAAGCATGTATGTTAGCTTTCCCTATATCGTGACTAATGGGCGGTGAAGACAGAATCTGAACCCAGGTTTTGCGTACTTCACTGCTGACTCTGTTCAGTTACTCCAGACGTTAGCAAATCAAATCACCCAAAGCACTGTTTGACCTTTGCCTTCTGTAGAAATTTGCATATTTGACTGACAACCAGGGAAATGTCATATATCTGGTACTCAACCCCCTTAGAGATTTCCAGTGAGCCTTGGTAACAGTGTAACAGAGGCGGAATTAAAATTTCCCCAGGAAACCTCACGCTGGGAATGAGAGCAGCTGGAAGCCCTGGCAGCCAGGGAGGAGACCAGAAAATGGTTAATCTCAGTTCTGATCATACACACTGAAGTCAATCTACATAGGAATACGTCTTGGCTTTTGTTTCATTTTTCTCCTATTAACTGTGACGCTATGAAGGTTAGGCAGAAGAAAGATCTAGAGATCTTTCTCCCTCCAGTTTGAGTCAAGACTGTCAATGAGATAATTTCCTTCAGCCAGGCCCAGTTTCCTATTGTCCTGGTGAAGTGGTATACAGTCACCATTCAGATTCTGCTAACATTCTCGGCGAGCCAGCCAGGAGGAAGGGCACTGGAGGAAGAGACTTAGACTGGTCACGGCAAGCTAGTCCTGTATTTTGGGAATTGGGGGATATTTCCTCAGCTTTGGGGGCATGTCTTATACACATGGATTTTTTTTTTCCCATTCCTCGTTTACATAGCATTGGCTGCAAATAAGTTAAATTCACCAGACTGGTAACAGAAAAAGAGGCTGACCATTTTCATGGTATCCAGAAGTAAGTAGTGATACCTACCCCAAACACAGACTGTGGGGGACATATGACTCTGGGGGTGGGGAGCTCACCTCTGGGAGGCTGAGGGATGCAATCGCTTACTTAATCTGCACACATGTATGTGTTTGTATATAAATAAGGTCTCCCAGATGCCTCCTAGTTCACAGGACTTAGGTAAATCTTTGAGAGATCAGTTAATTAAACTTGTAAGATAACAGGAAAATGTTTTATTTTGTTAAAAAAAAGAAAGAAAACAAAAAATTTGCGAGGATGGTCTAATTGATATATGGAAGAACAAGAAAGAAAAAAGTGAGTCAAGTAGGAAGAAAGATAAAGAGGGAGTTATTATACAGGAACTTGTTCGTTGAGACAGAGTCTCACTATGTAGCCCAGGCTGGCCTGAAGCTCACTGTGTAGCCTCCAACTCGTCATGACCCACACGCCTCTACCTCCCAAGGGCATGCATGTCTCTGTGCGTGTGCATGTGTGTGTTCTGATATTCTTGCCCCCACGTGTATGTGGGGGCTGAAGGTTGATTTCAGGGTGTTCTCCTCTCATGCCCTCTACCCAAATTTCAGTTTTATTTATTTATTTTTACACGTATGTGTCTGTGTCTCTGTGCTGCCTGTGGAGGTCAGAAGGAGGTGTCAGATCCCCTGAAGGCACCGAAGCAGGTGACTGTGAGCTGCCCAATGTGGATGCTGGCAAACCAGCTTTGGGTCTCTGCAAGAACTGCACAAGTTTTCAATTGTTTAGCCATTTTCCAGCCCTTCCGCCTTCATTTTTAAGACAGGGTCTTGCATTGAACCTGGAGTTTGTTGATCCATCTGGACTGGTCAGCAAGCCCCCAAGATTTATTTCTCTGCATCCTCTGTTGCTGGGGTCATGGTCAGTTACCAGTACGTCCAGCTTTTGAATGAGTGCCGTGCATCTGAACCAGGTCCTCATGCCTGCGCCTGTACCATAGCTCTGAGCTCACGGCTTCTTTTAAGTATTGGGTCTTCATCTTTGAGAGAAACAAGGACTTAAAAAGAATCTGTCTGTTCTAATGTCTTTTAAATGATAATCTTATAATGCTGGTTAAATAAGCATCTATTGTTTAGGTTATTATATTATGTTTGGCATAGAGATGTCTGTAATAGGAATCTTTTATCTATCTATCTATCTATCTATCTATCATCTATGTATGTATGTATGTATGTATGTATCATCTAGCTAGCTATCATCTATACTGTCTGTGTCTAACGGCTTAATATGCTGTGTGTATAAGCATCATCTAAATGTTATATGAAGTTCATAAAGATTCACAGGTTAATACAAGCAAAATAATCAGCCAGTACTGTCTTTTATACAGCGTGTCAGGCCAACACCTTAAACCCACAAGACAGTCCATAAGGCTCTTAGTATTTCTACCATCTGAACTTAGTACCATTCACACAGAAGGTCCCATAATGCAAGCAGTTTAAACCCTTGTCTGTATCCATTTGCTTCAACCCAGTTAGCAAGTTGGCTGTTGTTTATACGGGACATGCACTCCCTCTTCAGGCAGGAAGTGCTTCCTAATCCTGTCCGAAGTCTGAAACTTCACAAATAAAAGCTTTAATCAGTACTAAAAATCCCCTGCACTAATTACCACTGGTCTCTGCGCATTTCTGGTCTACCAGCACAGAAGGCTGCTAAGACTTGAAGCTCAGGAAAGCATTTTACTAATCTACTATCCTTCAACCTCAAACTTGTCCTAATGGCAGCCTTTTCCATCTGACACGTAATCTGTGCTACTCTGATCGTTGTTTGGGGCACAGATAGTCAGCTGTACTAGGCACTGTGTTCCCAGCAGCCGCTAATCAATAAAACCACTGGACACTGGGTATCCAGGAAGCCCTGAAGTAATGCTGTATGCAACAAAAGAAAAGATTGTTTTAGAAATGACTAAACTTCTTTCAGAGCAAGTTCTTTTGCAAGTCCTCAGAAAACTCTGGACAATCATGGGCAAATGGCTTGAAACAAATCTCCCTGTACAGGAAGTTTTCTGAGAGGCTCTAGGATGGCTGAAACTAAATCCAATTAAAAGACAGACTACTGGCAAACTCAGTCTAAGTGCTCCTCCTTCAAACCCACTCAGATGCTTAAACTTAGCCTAAAAGGTCACCTGGAACTAACTGCCTGACTTCCTGACACACGTCCTTCCTGCTGCAGGGTCAGATCAGACTCACTGGAACTGATCTCGCCTTGGCAGTGACAGCTAAGACAACTGAGACCAAACCTCAGCATGGTCAACCAATCATGTGTGCGGAGGAAAAATGTACTGAGGCAAAGAGAGAGAAATTGCTGGAATAAAATGGAGTCATGACAGACTTGATGGTGCACCAACTCAGAGGGTCATGAGTTCCAGGTCAGCATAGATGGCGCAGTAAGTTACTGTTAAAAAACCAAAATGAAACGAAACCCAACAACATCCAAAATGGAGTCACATGTGCAACAAGTGTGTCTAAGAAAAAGTCCCTCTGAATGATGTTAGGACTTTGGTTCCTAGTAGTATTCTGCCAAGGATTGTTTTTTAGGTACAAGAATATCTAGGAAGTTTCCACACATTCCAACAATAGATAGGCTAACATCCCAAGTTCCTTAAGACTTGAGAGTGAACAAGAAAGAGTTGTCATCATGTAACAGGGATGCTGAGGGATTAAAATATCTCTCGGACATCCCGTGCTAGGAGGGAGACCTACCCATAGTACCGATGGCTGAGGAAGAAGCCATGTTCCAGAAAAGGGTCAGTGTCACAGCTCTGACTGCTACCTCACAGCTAAGTCTGCACGTGTGAACATTTTGCCTTTTGCACCATCTTTTCTATAAATCGCAACACTGCTATCGGTCAGGCAGAGAGAAGTTTCTTCACCCTAGTTCTGATCTAAACTGGAAAAAAAAAAGTCCAACAAAACATTTTTTTAAATCAGTTCCCATCTCCTCATGTTACAGTAAAGTTGTAAGAGGTGGGTTCTGGTACCATTAAGATAACTCAAGGAGACAGTGGTCTGGCTTGTTTTAACCCATCATCCCCAACCTATAGGTTTATAGGTGTTACTGAATTATTTCCGATCGAAGAACTGAAAATCGTATTGCAATGCTGCCTGCTACATTCTGGTATGTCAAGGAAGAATTAAATACTGGAGCATGAGGACATATTTGGGTGGCTTCCTTGAGGTCACTAACCCTGGTGGTCCCACCTTACCTTGGAAGAAGATGTAGTTCATCATGGCAAACGTTGTGTCTTTCTCCAGATCCTTGACCAATCCTACTATTTTCCCTTGGGTTTCATCTGCCACATAGTCATTGATTTGTTTTTGGGCTCGTTGGGTGTCCTTGAAGTTGACAGCAATGACTTTTGAGTGGTACAGCCCCTTGACATCCTCCACAAACTTGTCCACCAGCTTCAGACTCTGGTCAGTGAATAGGCTGCTGTCTATAGTCAGCCGGGACCTGTGGTCTGGCTGACGAAGGATAGAAAGAAGTTGCTTGATGCATTCATGAATGTAGTTCTTGGGCATTTCTGTGAGGTTGAACTTCAGTCCTTCCAGGATCTGGCTGTGGGTGCTATTCTTGGTTCCTAGGGAGAGCATTAAAGTGGCGACAATGATGTTCGCTGGGGAGAATAAGATGTTGGTGTCTTTTGCCCAACTCTCCGACTTCTGATACAAGGTGAAGGTTAACTGGATGATGCTGTAGGAGATGCGTTGGCAGGGCAGGTGCTCCTGATGCTCATGGTCGTGCTCATTCACATCTATCTCCAGAGGATCTTGAGGCTGGGAGCCAGAGAAAAGGCAGCACAGGCCTGCTAGCAAAAGGAGACCCTGGGAGACAGAGGATGACATTGTCCTGCAAGACAGAGATGGAGACACAAGTCCTAAGTCAGGGCCCATGAGGATTCCTACATATAAAGGCAGCTGCAACCATGTGCTCTCCCCTGTCCCCATTATGTGTGTGTGTGTGTGTGTGTGTGTGTGTGTGTGCGTGTGCACATGCGCATGTATGCATATTGCCATTTGCTCTAACGAATGTGGTTTGCTCCTTCAAACTCTGAAGAGTCACAGTTTCTGGGACAGAAAGGATGACAGCAGTTCTAGTCTAGACTCTGCTTCTAATCACACACACACACACACACACACACACACACACACACACATCTCATCTTTGGAATGAGGCACTTGGGGGGAGGTAAATGAAATAAATGCAGATATATCACAGAGAACACTCAGATTCAACCACAGAACAGTTCATGGGAGGCGGGGAGTGGGATAGTGGGCTTAGCAAACCACTAACAGGACTAGCCAAGGCCCATGAGTCCAGAAGAGAAAAAGAGGGACAGAGGGCAAGTCCAGCTATTCCAGGAGTTAGTGAACACATCTCTCCTTTGGGGCTCCCAAGTTCTCACCAGGATATCAAGATCAGAATACCCAGGTAGGAGAGTGGGCTAAAGAAAGAGGGCTGAGGACCAGACTGTACTCTGGAATTTAGCTCTGAAAATCCAGAACCAAAAAGACTCCTTTCTCCCCAAGATAGTTAGGGTTGTAGATGGTTATAGACTCACCATGTCCTAAGCTGGGTCTCTGACTCAGAGTGGGTAGCCCTAAGAAGGATCCCCAAGGCAGATCAGGTGCAGGTTGGGGGTTCGGGGAGTGAGTTTGCCTAAGGTGGCTTCTCACTTCTCTATAGGCAGAGAACAGGGGGAGGCCAAAGGTACAGGATCCAAAACAAGTCTCCAGCCCTGCCCTTACCAGCACACACTGTGTGCCTACTATATGTTGAGAACCCAGAGTAATGTTTTTGTTCTCTGAACTCTGTGCATAGGAGATGAGCTAGGTGCCTTCATTTCCCATGTATGAATGAATGAGATGTTGAACCCAAGGGATGGAGGCTGGCAATGCCCACCCTGAGGACTCAAGAGGAGGATGGTGAAGCACTTACTGAGTAGAATAGGCTGAGGCCAGCTGGAGGGTCACGGTGTAGCGCTGACTGTCCCTCATAGTCTTTCCCTGGAGACTTATAAGCTGATTTCAGGGGCGGGGAGTGTGTAGGGACACTCAGTCCCAATGCATACAGAGATGCTTCAGGCTGGAGAAGAGCCTGGGGCTGATTGTGGAGGCTGGCCAGGGGACTGTGTCGTGTACTCTGTAACCTGAGGGCTTGGCCACCTTTCCAGAGATTGGCTTAGTGCGGTGCAACCAGAAAGTGGGGAGAGAGGTAGTGCCAGGGCCACCGTAGATCAGAGTAGGCGATAGGTACACACTGTGGCCGACTGGACAGGAGAGAAGAGATTTCAAAAAAAGTGACTTCTATTATCAGATTGTTGGAACAAAGGACCCGAAATAATTAACTTTCCAGGGATTCTATGCTGGGTAAAGGGAAAGGCGGAAACCCTGCTGCCAGCCACAGCAGGGACTGCCTCTCCAGAAGAGATCTAGCGCGGTTCTGATAACTTTGACCGACAGTCTATTTCCTGGTGTGTGCTGTCTAGTGTCTTTCTCAGAGTTCTATTGCTGTGAAGAGACATCCTGAGAGCAGAAACTCCTTAATTGGGGATGACTTACAGTTTCAGAGGTTTAGTTCACTATCATGGCAGGGAGTGTGGCAACAGGCAGGCAGACATGGTGCTGGAGAGGTAGCCGAGAGTTCTACATCTGGACCCACAGCAACAGGAAAATAGCCATTGGGTATGGCTTGGGTTTTGTAAACCTCAAAGCCTGCCCACAAGTGGCACACTTCTTCCAACATAGCCACACCTCTTAATCCTTCTCAGGTAGTGCCACTCCCTGGCGACCAAGAATTTCCCCCTAAGAACCTTTATAGGTGTTTCCTATTCAGACATATCTTCTATAGAATTTTAATATTGCCATGGAAAATGCCACAAGCAAATGGGACCTTTTTTCCCCCTTGGTTTCACTAAACTGTATTAAGATGCTTCTCTTTGTCAGTTGCTCCCAAGAAGCAGGGACCATGACTCTAAGTGTCCCATCTAACAACAGAGCCCAGCACAAGGGATCCCATAACTCACTGATCCCCTGGCTGGAAAAAAGGTAGATTCTGGTTCTGGATCCCTCCTCTCAAGAGAAGCCTGTTTTTCCTTACTTTATCTTGAATAAAATTTGATTTTCAAGGTAATTTGAGTGAGAATGGCTCCCACAGGAACATATATTTGAATGCTCTGGTTCCCAGTTGGTGAAACTGTTTGGGAAGGTTAAGAGGTATGCCCTCATTGGAGGAGATGTGCCGAAGTCATTGCAGCTCGCTCTCTCTCTCTCTCTCTCTCTCTCTCTCTCTCTTTCTCTCTCTCTCTCTCACTTGTAGATCAGATGTCAGCTCTCAGCTACTGGTCCAGTGCCATGCATGCATGCTCACCTGCTGTTGTGCTTCCCAGGATGCTTTTGGGGTTGCCTTCTGAATCTGTAAGATGGCCCACAACTAAATGCTTTCTTTTACAGGTTGCCTTGGTTCTGGTGTTTTGTCATGGCGATGGAAAGGGACTTAAGGACTTTGTAAAGCCACTGTTTTCCCCTTTTAGTTCTTTAAGTCATCTGAGAAAATGACCCTATGCCCGCACCCTGAGTAACATCAGGATAGGCTCGATATTTTTCATGGTTTGACAGATCATAGCAGAGAGCTCCTTGTCTCTCTGTTCTCAAATGTTCCCACCGAACCTTAAATGGCTCCATAAATACCAACTCATACCAACCTTGGGCAACAGATGTCCAAAGGATCCAACAGAACTCCAATCTTGCTCAAAAGACCTGTCATTCACCCCAGGAGTTCAACAAAATGGATGCAGCTCAGGAGAACTCTGACAACAATCTCCAAACTGGTTCAAAAAGAATTCACATTGCTCAAAGGAGCCTTCAAACCAAAGGAAGGCAAAGTCCAAGGTGCCCGTAGTGGGAAGAAATTTACTGAGGGTCAAATTTTCTTGAAAGTCTAAAACAAAGCATAAATCCTTATTTCTCACATCTACCTGGTGGAAAAGCTGCTGAAATTGAGAAAAATTCCCTGGATGTGAGGTTGCTTCCTGTGTGGCACTTTCCAGCCTTCCCTCTCCACCTGGGGAAAACTCTCTGTGAGTGGCTGACATCCAACATTAGTCTTTTCTCCTGATTGGAGTGCCAACATCATTATCAGAGTCCTTAGCTTTAGAGTTGGGACCCTGACAATCCTAACAAGCTAGACATGGCAGTTCATCCTCAGTAGGTCAAGTAAACAGATGGGTCTTAGTGAAAAGCAGAGACTTATTCCCACTGGAAAAGGGAACAGAGATCTAGAGAGAGTCTCCCTGGCCCCTGTCCATCATCAGAGTCCTGCAGTGAGGATGTGGTTAAGCAGAGAAGCCTAGGCCAACTTGTCTCAGCTCCCCTCCTATAGGGTAAAAGGATAACTTCTCAGAATTGTAGGAAATCTCTTTCTGAAAGACCGGTTGCCTCGTCCCTCACCCAGCTATCCCCAGGGAAGATGTGGCTTTCTTATTCTCCTGGCAGGGAATTCTGGGGAACTTAGTTTCCTGGGTCCATTGCCTCAAAAGTTTGTGTTTCTTCTGACCACAAAAGAGAGAGACCCAAGTTTCCCTTTGGAATAATTTCTTTCCTGTTGGGATGAGGACAGGCCTGACTGAGTGGATTAAAATCTGCTCAAGCCAGGTGGTGGTGGCGCACGCCTTTAATCCCAGCACTCAGGAGGCAGATGTAGGCGGATCTCTGTGAGTTCGAGACCAGCCTGGTCTACAAGAGCTAGTTCCAGGACAGGCTCCACAACCACAGAGAAATTCTGTCTCAAAAAACCAAAAAAAAAAAAAAAAAAAAAAAAAAAAAAAAAGATAATAAATAAATTAAATAAAATAAAATCTGCTCAAGTAGAAGCTGTTACCTGATAGTGCTTGCTCTGTGCCTACAAGGTGAAGGGTTTAGTGTTTTGTCTGGTTTTGTTTTCTGCCTGTGTGAGCAGGAAGGCTCAGGAGTGGCCCCTTAGCCACCATCCCAAAAGGTCTGTTAATTAGGGCTTCTGCTGCTGTGATAAAACACCATGACCCAAAGTATCAGGAACCTCTGAGTGCCAGCCTCAGTGTCCCCTCAGGGTTCAGAAGACTCACAGCAAGCATGGGACCTAGAAGGAACTGAGGGCAAAAATGAACTCTCCACTTCATATTTTTCTGCATCAGTTTCTTAATTCTTTTCCTTCTGTTCTCCTCTGTTCTGTAAAGTTTCCAGTTTATATACACACAAAACAGAGGCAAGTCTCTGAGCTTTGACATCCCTTTATCTTTGAAGGTTCCTGACTGCATGTCCTGCCAAATGGATGAGAGTTGCAGAGAGGTGGCTTCTAATGTGTCTCAGGGAAGAGAATGGAGATATTGCTGTGGAAACCAAATTTTCTTGCTATGTGACTAAATTCTCTTGTTGGAAGTTTCATAGGGTGGGGAAAGCCATTCAGTAAGCAAAAGAATGAGGCAGGCTTTTAAATGACCACAGTCCTTGAAGGACAAATAGATCCAGTTATGAAGCCTGTCCCCGTATATATTCTATATATCAGAACTATGTAGCTAAATGAAAAGTCATTTACCTGACCACCCACAGATACATGTGCCCATAAGATTAACATGTAATCATGAGCATCTGCAAATCACATGAGATTACACACCACAATGCGGGTATAGGGGAGACACAAAGCTGTTTCAGCAAAAGTGAGCAACAGCTTTCGGCCTTGTCTGGACAGGATCAGTCCTCCATCAGATAACCACACCTCTTGTGGGTCGACATCGGAGCCCTGGTTGCTACCTACTTTTTACAGACACAGAAGCAACTTGCGGAGGAATGGCCTTGCTCAACTTCTCACTCCACACCACAGTCCGTCACTGGGGGAAGTCAGGGCAGGGATCTGGAGGCAGAGTGATGCAGAGGGTACCGTTTGCTAGCTTACTCCACATGACTTGCTCAGCTTGCACCCACAGTGGTCATTAACCAAGAAAATAATCTACAGACATGCCCACAGATCATTTTCTCAATTAAGATCTCTCAGCACTCAGACCAGGCCCAGTCCCTTCGTGGTGACAGACACCAATCTGCCTTCCTAGATTAGCATTCCCAAAGCTTGTCCCATCACCAACTTTTCTAACTCCTAATTTCCCACCTGTGATAAAAATGAAGACGCCTGACTGACTCCCCATTTGGAGACATATTGTTCTGGAAAGACCGTCAACTGGAAAGGGTTGTAAAAGCAGGGAAGCTAAGGTAGAGGGCCCTGCATGCTCAGGAGGAGTTCGTTGGACTCTTAGCCTTATTTGCTGAAGTCTGAGCAGGAAGGAGGGTAGCTCATGGCAGACTAGAGAGGCAGGAAAAACTACATACTCCACCCAGGGAAGAACCAAGAGTCAGAAAGGGTTCCCCCTGCTCCTCCTCCCTCTTTTCTCTCCTTTCCTCCCCCCTCTTCATCATCTGTCTTCCCCAATTCTCCCACCCTCTTTCCCTCCATATCTTCTTTCTCCATCCTCCTTCTATGATTTCTACTTGGGAAGTGTCGGGGGGTGGCGGTGCTCCATCTACTTGAAACTTATGACATATGGCATAGATACCATTGGAAAGTGTCTAAATCACATCCCTGCAGTGCACACGGATCACAGCTGCAGATCTCCCTCCTGGCTGGAGTCTGTGCACAGGTGTGCAGTAGCACCCACCTCAGAAACAGCTGCTCAAGTCTGCACATCTCAAGACACTGCGCCCATCTTCCAGATCAGGCCCTGACCTCGCTGTGCCCACCCAAACTGATGACTTCACTGCTTCTCCACAGGTCCTGGTCCCAGGGAGGGGGACAGTCTCTGCCTGGCTCCTCCTCTGACTATTTCCTTCTCCTGGGATTTATTTTCAGGTGGGGCCTCTTTGGCTCTCACCCCCAGCCTCTGCACCATTTCCTCAGTGGTGAAGAAGGGCTTTCTTACTCTCAACAAGGATTCTAGTGGTATGATTATTGTCATTCCTTGAAGACACAATGTCTCCGAGTGTGGAGAATGAGCCTTTGAAAAGGGAAGGTTAAGTTTCAAGATCTCAACACGGGAAGTTTGCCAGAGTGGTACCCAAATACTTCATAGAGCAAGAGAAAGTGATGACCCAACAAAGGTAGAAAAGGGATGGCAGCCACTAGGCAGAAATGCTGGCAGCTGCCCGAAGATGGCAGTGGATGGAACGGCACTGTTCCTAAAGACTCTGAGGGCACCCCCAAATCTTGACTCGGTCCCAATAATAATTCCTGGACTGTGTCTTGAAAACTGTGGCAGAAAAATTTTCACTCAAAGCCACCAAGTTTGTGTCATCTGGAACAGAACCCAAGGGCTCTGGGGCAGGACCCTCAACATGGCCCCCTCTCCACCACCATCTGCTTGTGTTGGCCCAGCAAGGTGAACAACTGTCCCGTGCCCTCTGCATCCTTGGCTTCAACTCAGTGTACACAGTGAGGGCATGCATGATACAGTGGCATTTGCCCAGAATATCATGACGTAGGGACCTCCATGCTTACGCTTGCCAGTGAGGACACTGAGACTGAAGAAGTAGGTGAGGACATCCTACAGTCAAATGGGACCCAGAGCCCGGGTTGTCTGACTTTCTGCTTGGGGAGGGGTGAAGTAATAGGAGCGACGGCGGGGCTGCGTCCCCAACACCCCAGCCGCCTGCCCGGCTAGCTTATGCCCCCAAATAATTACACAGACACTGTATTCTTTTAAGCACTGCTTGGCCCTTTAGCTCTAGCACTTACAGGCTAATTCTCACATCCCGATCAACCCATCTCTAATAATCTGTGAGAACCGGTCTTACCGGGAAGATTCTAGCCTAGTCCATCCTGGGTTGGAGCTTCATGCCGCCGTGTGTCTGCCCGGGAGCGGGGCATGGCTCATCCCGGGAGCGGGGCATGGCGTCTCTCTCAGGCGTCTGCTCCGGAGAGGAGAGATGTCGAGACTCTGACCTCACTTCCTCTTCCTCCCAGCATTTTGTTATGTTTACTCCACCCACAGGGCCAAGCAGTTTCTTTATTGGCCAATGACCTTCCTCCATCAGAGGGGGTCATGATTAATGAGATCAGCCCTTTGGCTGCCTGTGAGGAATGGCAGAAAGGTATGGGAGCAAGGATGTAAACAGGGACAATATGGGAGAAGGGAGGACTCAGGGGCACTGTAAAATACCCAGTCCAGCATCCGCTTACTGAACCTCCTGTCTTTGCTGTCTCCCATGCCTATATACATATGTATATGTATATGTATATGTATATGTATATGTATATGTATATGTATAAATGGCTGTTGTTTTCCCTTTTTACTGCCGCTTGGCCTGCTGTCTTTCCTAGTCATTCAATTCCTTTTCCATGCCAGGGATTGAACTCTGCTGTCTCCTAGGTG